GAGGCCTGGGGGAGCGGAGCAGGGGATGGTGGCAGGGTGGCATGTCACAGTGCCTGGGCCAGCGCATGCCCTGCAGCAGGGTCACACTGGACCCGCTTTGTGCCACAGCAGCACTCCCGGAGCAGGGATGGGGAGGCATTTCCTGTGATGAAGGCAGCGATGCTCTTACCCATAAGGTGGCTCACAGAGTCATCCTCAACTGCATCCAGGCCCTTCTTGTCCCAGACATAGTGTGCACCCTGTCAGTGAGAGCAGACATGGTGCCAACAGCTCACACGCACCCCGCGGTGCCCAGTGCCAGCTCCCCTCTGCCCCGGCACAGGTACCTCCTTGGAGCCGAGCCACTCGGCGATCAGATCGAGGCCGTCTCTCCTGACACCATTCTGTGCTGGGTCGTCTGGGTACTCGGGGTCTGGGGTCTGCTTGGGGGTCATGTACATCCGCCCGCCACCGAGGATCACCTGCCAGGGGACCAGGGAGCTGTCAGCTGCACCGCCGCTGCTTAGAGGTCCCAGTACCAAGGGGTCCCAGCCCTGCAGCTCAACCGATCCCCTCTGCATGTCCCTGGGACACCCGCATTCCCCATAGGGGGGCACTGGCCTGGCCTTGCCATGCCTCGGGGTGCCCGCTCCTCAGCTCACATTGATGTCTGTGTTGTGCACCAGCTGGTAGGCGATGTCCTTGCAGCCCTCCCGCAGGGCATCTTTGGGCATGTTAGCGTCAGCGTACCAGCTCCGGCTGACCGAGTGGGCATAGGTAGCCCCGGGGGACGCATGCTGCACCCGCGTGGTTGTCACGATGCCCACGGACTTGCCTGCAACACGAGTCACGGTTTACAGCCAGGCTGAATGGCGAGCCTGTCTAGCCCACCGAAGCAGGGGATGTCCCTGCTGTGCTGGGCTGGGCTCTCCAATAGGGGCACACCACTGTCCTGTACCTGCCAGCCTGGCCCGGTGCAGGACGGAGTCCACCTCGTTGCCAAAAGTGGTGCGACATTTGCCGTAGACAGCTGCTCCACTCAGCCCCAGGGTCTTGGCGTTGGTTTTCACCCCACACAAGTAGGCAGTGCCCGTGCCTGCGCTGTCGGGCACCTGCCGGTCGATGGTGTAGGTCTGCAAGCCAGCAGGGGGTGAGGGCTTTGGGCAGTGGGCAGCACGGGCACTGCCACTGGCACTGCCCCACTCACCTTGGCCAGGGCCACATGGGGGAAGGTCTCCATGGCCAGGACACTGTCCTCGCCCGAGCCGCCGGCCAGCTGCCCCTGGTAGATCCGAGCTGCAGAGACTGTGGGCAGCCCCATGCCTGCAGGCACAGCAGAGCCACAGGGTGGCAAAGGGCCAGGATCAGGGCAGGATCTTGCCCAGGGCTGGCAGGGGACACCTTATAAGGGGCAGGAGGGGAACCTGCACAGGAACACCCTGGCTGGGTAGTGCCCTTCTGGTGCCACCATGGGGACACTGCTAGGGAGAGGTCCCCATCCCTCAGGCTGCAGGGCACCAGACCCATCCTCTTGCCAGCCACTTCAGGGGACAGCTTTGTCCTCTCTCGCTGCCTCGACTTCCCAGCTGATACTTAGAGGTGCTGAATGGCCCCGGACACTGCTGAGCCCATGAGCCAAGGGGCCTGGCAGGCACCCGTGTCCCTGCCCAGAGTTGAGCTGACCCAACATCCAGTGTCCTGGCGTCACCGTCCCTGCAGCTCTGAGCTACCAGCCTCCAAGAAAGGCTGAGGAGTAGCCCCAAGCACCCAGGCCCTGTCTGGGGCCAAGAAGGCCCAAAGACTGGGACCGCCAAGGGGAAGGAGCAAGGGAAAGGGAAGGAGGTGATGGATGGGGAACAGCCCTATGCACAGGCAACAGATCCTGAGGGAACTGGGGAATGAGTAAGATCCCCCCCTTTCCCTCCCAAAGGCTCAGACACACTCCAAACTCCTTGAGGACTCCAAGGACAAACTCATCCCTAGCCACATTGGGCACCCCCTGTAAGAGCGAGCTGCCCAGCAGGCCATTGGGTAAACTGAGGCACAGGCTTGAGTGATGAGTTTGGGACCACGCTATGGGTCACAGCTATGCAGACGCCTTGCTAGTGCCCATCTCTGCACTGGCCCTGTGTGTGGGCTCCCAGTTGGGCACCAGACAGCTCCCTGAGACACCCCAGGTCCCTGACCCAGAGGACTCACCGTCACCCATGAAGAGGATGATGTTTTTGGCTCGCCGTGCTACGGGCTGCAAAGCCAGGGCTGACTCTAGCCTCCTCCTGGCCCCTTCGTTCCAGTAGTCCGGGTTCTTCTCGGTGCCTGGAGGTGAAGGGGGGGGATGCAGGGGTCGGGGCTGTGCCCAGCATCAGAGGCACTGCCACGGGCTCTGCACGGCCCTGAGCACCCTGGCGGTCCTGAGACTGGTGGGGGGGGGCATCTCCACCTAAGTGAATTTAGCCAAAGTCCCATGCCTCAGAGGGGCCAGGAGCCATTTAGGGATCAGCCAGGCCTTTGGCAACCCCAGCGTTGTCCCGAGTCCATCTGCAGAGGGGGAAACTGAGGCACGGTTTGGTTAGGAAGTGCCTCACACCTCTCCGCAGAGGGCACTGGCTACCCAAGCGTCAGCCCCATGCAGCAAGTGCAGTAAGTGTAGTCTGCAGCGAGCGTGCAGAAACCACAAGCGGCCATGGCTATCAATCTGCTTCATCCAAAACAGCCCGGTAAGGGGCACCGCCAGGGATGTGAGGGGGGCAGCAGGGCTCGGGACGATCAGGAACAGGGTATGCTCGGTCAGGGCTAGGACAAACCCCCTCAAAGGTGGGGGTCCCAAACCACCTTGAGGCCCCTGCCATGGCCAGGACGGCTTCTCCTCACCAGGTACCTGGGGCTAAGCCCCTGCCATGGGGCAGGAT